TTCTTTTTTTTTAAAAGATTTATTTACTTATTTGGTAGAGAGAGACAGCGAGAGAGGGAACACAAGCAGGGCGAGTAGGAAAGGGAGAAACAGGCTTCCCACGGAGCAGGGAGCCAGACACAGGGCTGGATCCCAGGACCCTGGGATCATGACCCGAGCCGAAGGCAGACGCTTAATGACTGAGCCACCCAGACACCCCAGGTTTTTTGATTAATAGTTGAAAACACAATCAGAGATCGATAACTAAGTGCCTATAATCAATCTGAAAAAAAAAAAGCCCAGAAGCTTTTTAATTCTAATTTTGCTATACTAAAATGATATTTATAAATTATAAAAGCCTTTATGAATTATCTAATCACTTCTCAGTATAATTCTTCCCTTTATAATGCAGCTCCCAGTGTTGAGGATGCAGTAAGAACTTTCAACGCTAGGGTTTTTGTCAAACTCTTCAGACATTTTTGCTTAGAAATTCTGATTGAAGGTGGGGCCCAGTACCTCTTGTGACCAAGGAACTTGGGGACCCAGAAAGAAGAAGCTGACTCAGCAAAAAGATGAGCTCCATAAAGTTCTAGAGTGTAGCTCGGTCTGTTTTCAGGAGCAGATTAATAACCAGAATCCCACCAGAATGCTTCTTTCTTGGCTTATACCGAAAATGAAGGGTGACGCCTCAGACATCATCTAACAGCTGCTAAGAAGCAAGGACACCTAAATTCCCATCAGCTGTCTTTGTAGATGATCAATTCGGTATTCTCCTTTCTCTTCTTCCCCCTGCTCGCCTCGCTGCCCCATGCAGTCACGCATTAGGAGATGGGAAGAAAAAGAAACATGCTTTTTCTTTTTTTTTTTTTTTAAGATTTTTATTTATTTATTTGACAGACAGAGATCACAAGCAGGCAGAGAGGCAGGCAGAGAGAGAGAGAGGAGGAAGCAGGCTCCCCGCTGAGCAGAGAGCCCAATGTGGGGCTCGACTCCCAGAACCCTGGGATCATGACCCGAGCCGAAGGCAGAGGCTTTAACCCACTGAGCCACCCAGGCACCCCAGAAATATGCTTTTCTGTTTGTTCTTTCTTGGTGGGATGATACATGAAAACTGCTCCAGTGAGCCCTTTGGAAGCTCAACAGACATTGATAAAATCATCTAACTCACATTTCTTCTTCTGTCCTAAAGGATTTGAGATGATTTAAAAGTTTATAGACAATAAAACAGAAAAGTACATAACTAAGCAGAGTTAGAAACCATATAAATTTGAATGGAAAGTTAAGAGCCCTGTCCACTTCTGCAAGCTTAAAGCTTGGACTTTGGTGAACTCCTGCTTTGGGGGAAGGCCCAGTGGGTGGGCTTTCCTGGGCAGCGGGGAGGGCAGGAAAACTCATTAGTGATTTCCGCAAATATATCTCTGTTAAAAGTGGGAGCAAGGTTGAAAGTTAAGTGGGTTGACTAGAAATTTGTCTTTACTGTTACCACAGTATTTAACGAGACTCTCCTCCCACCGATCTTTATACATTTTTCCCAGAAACAGCCCCTTGTCTGTGCTTGGCAGTCAGAACGCCCCCTGCCTCCACCCCCGCAGTGAGATTCCTGGCTCTCAGCCAGCCTCTCAAAATGGGGAGCCTGCTATGCTGCCTCAGCCTGGTGACCTCCTCCTGATCCCCAGCCCTCAGGGCTTTAAGCTCAGGCCTCTTCTAACCAACACCCCCCCCACCCCCCCACGCCCGCACTTTCTTGCCAGAGGCTTCTTAAAGGAGAAAGTCCTCCTTCTCTGCTCCTTTGTCCCTTCCTCTCCTTTTCCTCCTCTTTTTCTTCTTCTTCTTTGTTTTTTTTTTTTTTTTTAAGATTTTATTTATTTATTTGACAGAGAGAACATAAGCGGGGAAGGGCAGTTGGAGAGGGAGAAGGAAACTCCCCACAGAGCAGGGAGCCGGAAGCAGGACTTGATCCCAGGACCCTGGGATCATGACCTGAGCCAAAGGCAGGTGCTTAACCAACTGAGCCACCCAGGCGCCCTGTTTTAACTTTTTGTAATGAGATGAGAAAAATAGTAGAGAGAGGAAAAAACTGAGGTCGAAACAAGAAAATAAAACCTCCTGAGAACACTACCATCCCTTTTGCTGAGATGGTGCCTTGCCAGACGTTGGATGTGGGGAGCTAAAGGATGGTTGTAGATTGAGGTCCCCAATCCGTGAAGCTGTGGGAACCAGGGAAGAGGATGGGTTTCTGTGTGCGATGGTTCGAATGGGTATTGCACGGCCTCCGGCTGCCTGACTTCAGGTCAGGATTCACACGGGCATCTGGGCTCTTTGGACTGCTGGTGCGGACACTTGTGAGTCATTCCTGGGACTGATGTAATCCAGTTGCACTTGACCGCCCGGGCTTTTTCTAGAGAAGAACAGGTAGAGCCAGGGTCAGATGATGAGAATTTTCCACGTTATGATGGTGATGGCCTAAAAAGCCTAAAATGACGTATTAGCCTTCCCAGAAGACCATTCCTTAGCTGGGAGACAGTGCTGTAGACCCATAGTTAAGTGGAATGCTCGAGAAGTTTGTTTTCCACTGCGATATTTTGGATGCTGAAGCTTTCAGGGAGTAATTTACTGAATTGCTATATAATGGAATTGACTTCAAAAGACCTGAACACGTTTACTTGAAGCATTATTTTTATTTTCTCTTTTAAGGGAGTCAGTTATATTTATCTTGCTGTGGTAACAAAGGAAAAGTAATCAAACATATGTATCTTAATAATTGTTTTTAAAGTTGATTAACGATGGCCATAATGAAGCTTTATATTTACATAAGGCTTGAGACATTGTTACATGTTTCCATTGGATACTCACAACCACCCCAGGAGGGGAGCAGAGACTGTAGCTGCTTTTCACAGGTGAGAAAGTGGGAGAAGAGGAGCAATGAGTGGGGGCCTCAGTCACGTAACTAGAGAGAGATTTAAGACTTGAATGTCCATCATCTGACTCGAAGGCCGGTGATCCCTCTTCTGCATTTTGGGTGTGAAGTCGCGTAACACCGAGAGGGGAGCCTTGATGATGTTTGACTCCTGTTAGGTGATGGGGATTGGCAATGCCCTTCCCATGTCTTGTCTCATCGAATCCTCACAACTCCAGGGAGCTGTCACCGTGCCCACTTTTCTGAGGAGAAAATGGCTCCCTGGGAGGTTCACTTGCTAATTGAGGCTAGTAGGTGGTGGGGCTGGGGTTTGACCAGGTGTCCAGCTCCCGAGCTCTTTTTTTTTTTTTTTTGATTTTTTTTTTTTTTTTTATTTGCTTAACAGACAGAGATCACAAGTAGGCAGAGAGGCAGGCAGAGAGAGAGAGAGAGGAGGAAGTAAGCTCCCTGCTGAGCAGAGAGCCCCATGCAGGGCTCAATCCCAAGACCCTGGGATCATGACCCGAGCCGAAGGCAGAGGCTTTAACCCACTGAGCCACCCCGGCGCCCCTGAGTGGACTCTTTTTCACTAAGAGCCTGCCTCATCCTGTTCCATGAGGAAAGATCACACTGAGTGTCGAAAGTGTTAGAGAACTGAAGCATTGGTTTTTCTGACCTTTACCTTTAGTAAATTGGATTTATGGAATTGTTCTCTACTTTTTTTTTTTTTTTTACAGATTTGTTTACTTATTTTATTTATTTATTTTCAAAGATGTGTTTATTTATTTATTTGACAGAGAGAGAGAGAGAGAGAGAGAGAAAGAGATCACACAAGCAGGGGGAGAGACAGGCAGAGAGAGAGGGAGAAATAGGGAACCCAATGCAGGGCTTAATCCCAGAACCCTGGGGTCATGACCTGAGCCAAAGACAGATGCTTAAGGACTCAGCCACCCAGGCAACCTGTTTACTTATTTCAGAGAGAGAGGGAGAAAGCAAGGGGATGGGCAGAGAGAGAAAATCTCGTGCAGGCTCCCCACTGAGCTGAGTGTGGAGCCCCACATGGGGCTTGATCTCATGACTCTGAGGTCATTACCTGAGACAAAACCAAGAGGCAGATGCTTAACTGACTGAACCTCCCAGGCGCACATTCTCTTCTCCACTTTCAGACAAAGATAGCTTTCCTGAGCATTTTTTACAAAATAAGACAAATTTGGGGGTGCCTGGGTAGTTCAGTTTGTTAATCATCTGCCTTTGGCTCAGGTCATAATCCTGGGGTCCTGGAATCTACCCCAAGTCGGGCTCCTGGCCCAGTGGGGAGTCTGCTTCTGCTTCTCCTTTTCCCTCTGACCCCCTCCCTGTTCATTCTCTCTCTCTCAAATAAATAAATAATTTTTTTTAAAAAAAAGACAAATTTTCAAGAAATCAATACTTGTCTCTTGGAAGAGTATGAAACTAACAGTCTTAAATATCCTTTGGCCAGGGATACCTGGGTGGCTCAGTCCGTTAAGCATCTGCCTCCAGATCAGGTCATGACCCCAGGGTCCTCTAGGATAGAGTCCCACATCGGGCTCCCTGCTAGGTGGGGATCCTGCTTCTCCTTCTGCCTGCTGCTCCCCCTGTTTTTGCGCATGCTCTCTCTCTCTCTCTCTCTCTGACAAATAAAATAAATAAAATCTTTTAAAAAATATCCTTTGGCCAGAACATTATTTGATACTACTCTTAAGCCTATAGAATGAGAAGTTTCTAATCTGTGGAACTGATATGTCATGTCTCAGGGTAAAGTGAAAGTCTTACGAGAGACAGCTAACAAACCCAGATGATGATTACTTAACCCTAGGGTTTTGGTATACCAATTGCTTATTAATATGAACTTCTCATTCTTTGCCTTTGAACCAAAGTAGGCTTTCTTTGCATTCATTTCTTTTTCTTTTTCTTTTTTTTTTTTTTTTAATTCATGCCATTTGTCCTCAGGCCCATGTTGTCTGGTAGGAGATGCCTAACAGGGGCTTGCTTGGTTTTACTACTGATTTAATGAAGTTTGTAGGATGAATTTTGTGGTATGGATTCATGTTACTGTATTTTCCAATTAAAAAACCAAAATGGCACAAACACACTTTCGTCCTAGATGACGGCTACACTCAGAAACTTGGTTGATTCACCACTAGCAAGAAGTAAGTTGCTGAGCATCAGTGCCCTTCCCCAGCTCTGCACGGTGATGGGACAATACATGGCTGACAAGGATGTCTGCACCAATATTGCCAGAATATTCAGGTAGGTGGACTAGGAAAATGAAGTAACCTTAAACAAGTACTAAGGCTTAAATTTGGAGTTATCTTTAATATTCGTGTGTGTGCAGCTTGCAAGGAATCCCATTTTTGCTTCTTACTTTCCCCAGACCAAAAAAAAAATCTAGTGGCCCACGTTCAAAATAAATGATGTAAAACTAATGACCCCATTTCCCGTGTATTCCTAATGTGATTCTAAACTCATCCATTGTAAGTCACCTTAGTTCTTTGGTGAGTTGTGAGTTATCCTGGGGTTTTCACAGGATAAACAAAAATTCCTCTTAGCTTATTGGAGCTAAAGAGCTGTATCACAAAACACGATGAACTTTCTAGTATACTTGGAAACAGTACTTAAGGATTATAATTCAAAAAGGGCAGCATTGCTTAGAAAGTCTGATCTGACCTGATTATTTGAGTTCGCTTGTGCGACTGAATTTGGGCTCATATACTCACTTGTCATGTTTACACTTCAAGCCAGAAGTGAGGACTGTCGGTATCCAGGTCGCTTCAAAGCAAGATGTTAAATTTCAGAACTGTCTTTATTTATTTATTTATTTTTTTAAAAGATTTTATTTATTTATTTATTTATTTATTTGACAGAGATCACAAGTAGGCGGAGAGGCAGGCAGAGAGAGAGGAGGAAGCAGGCTCCCCGCTGAGCAGAGAGCCCGATGTGGGGCTTGATCCCAGGACCCTGGGATCATGACCTGAGCCAAAGGCAGAGGCTTTAACCCACTGAGCCACCCAGGCGCCCCCAGAACTGTCTTTAAATTATGCATTTATATTTCCTCTCTCACTGCTCCTTGCCCATGTTTTTACATAATTATCATTCTCAAGAGACCTGGGCCTTTTTAAACTTCACTGTAGTTGTTTAGTAAAATAGAACATTCTCTGAAGACCCATCGGTAACTGACCCTGGGATGAGGATGGGAGTCCAGATTTGACTTTTTTAGCCCTGTGCTTTCCCTTCTGGGTACTTAGCACTCCCATTTTGAAATGCTATAAAATCATACATTTTGGTTTTGTATCTGGTGGCGTGCAGGGATTCAATTTAATTTTTTTCCCATATGGCTAGTCAGTTGTCCCAGCACCTTTTATCAGATATACCATTCTCCCCAACTCCTCCCCCGCCCCACCGGTGATTCTAAGAACTTAGTTATTCAAACATGAGATTCCATATACTTGTAGGTCTGTTTCTGGGCATTCTGGCCCATCCTCAGATCAGTACCGCACTGTCTTTACTGTTATAGATCGAAGTCTTGCTATAAGATAAGATAAATCCTGGGGCCCCTGGGTGGCTCAGTGGGTTAAAGCCTCTGCCTTCGGCTCAGGTCATGATCCCAGGGTTCTGGGATCAAGCCCCGCATCGGGCTCTCTGCTCAGCAAGGAGCCTGCTTCCTCTTCTCTCTCTGCCTGCTTCTCTGTGATCTCAGTCTGTCAAATAAATAAATAAAATCTTAAAAAAAAAAAAGATAAGATGAATCCCTCACCCCTTTTCTCCTTTAAGATCCAAATTCTTCCCTCTTTCTCAAGAGTTGGAGAATCAGCTAAGGTTTGTGGTAGGAACTTTAGGGTTTTTCTTGGAATAACACTGGGTATGTAGAGCAACTGTGATGCAAGTGAAGAGAACGGACATATTTATGATACCGAGTCTTCTACCGATAAACATTTATGATATTTTCTTTTATATCTTCCCATAAAATTTTATAATTTTCTCCAAAAAGATTTTGTACATCTTTTATTAGATTTATCCCTTCATGGCTTTTGCTGCAACTATGAATACAGTCTTTTAAACATATTTTTAAAGGGGATTAAGAAGTACAAATTTCTATTTATAAAATAAATAACTCACAAGGAAGAAAAGTACAGCATAGGGAATATAGTCAATAATTTCATAATAACTTTGTATGGTGACAGGTGACGACTACACTTATCATGGTCAACGTGTCATAATGTATAGAATGTTGAATGACTATGTCATATACCTGAAATTAACACAGTAGCACATGCCGACTATATAATATGTGTATAAAATACTTCCTAATAGGTTGTTGCTGGTTTATATAAGTAGTATTGATGTTTGCTTATTAATCTTTACCAAGGAATCTTGAAATTTAGGGCCAAGAGCTAGTCTGTAGATTCTCTTGGATTTTCTAGGCAATTTGTCTGCAAATAAAAATAATTTGTTATTTTTTCCCCCAATTATTACAACTCTTTCGTGCTGTCCCACCTCTTCCTTACCACCTTGCTCAGGATGTCCCATTGAAAGCTGTAAGAGTGTTGGACCTGCTGCCTTGCTCCTGACTTCAAAGAAAATATTTTTGTGGTTTTACCAATTAAAAGTAATATTTATTGTAGGTTTTTGTGTGTACCCTTCAGAAGGCTAGGGAAGAATTTTCTCACACTAATGGATGTTAAATTTTCTTGAATGCTTGCCCTGAATCTATTTGACTATGTGGATTTTCTTTTTTTAGTTCATTAATATAGTAGATCACAGATTAATAGATTTTCTCATGTTAAGCCACTATATACCTGCTAGGTTTAATTGGCTAATATTTTATTCAAGACTTTTCATCTGTGAGTTAGATTAACCTGTACTTTTCCTTTTTCATATTGTCCTTGTCTGGTTTTAGTATCAAGTTTATTCCAGCCTCATAAAATGAATTGTGAAATAGTCCCACTTTTTCTCTTTCCTAAAAGAATTTGTGAAAATGAAACTTACCTGTTTTTTGAAAAATTTGTAGAACTTTTTTGAAAATCTATTTTGTCCTGGTGGGTGTGTCTGCACACATTCATGTGTGATTGTCACTGACTACTGATTCACTTTCTTTAATGGTTATATATTTGTTGTATTCTCTATTGTACTGGGGTTAGTTTCAGAAAGTTATATTTTTATAGGAATCTGCCCATTTTATCTAAGTTTTCAAACAATATAAAGTCATTCCAAATATTATCTTATTATCCTTATAATTTCTGTTGCATTTTGAATCATGTCCCCTTTTATTCTTTAACTAATAATATTTACTACTACTATTTTTTTTTAAGATTTTATTTGTTTATTTGACAGAGAGGGAGAGCACAAGTAGGCAGAGAGGCAGGCAGACAGAGCAGGAGGAAGCAGGCTCCCTGCCGAGCAGCGAGCCCAATGTGGGGCTCGATCCCAGGACCCTGAGATCGTGACCTGAGCTGAAGGCAGACGCTTAACCCACTGAGCCACATAGGCGCCCCTACTACTAATATTATTTAAGAAATACTTAGATAACGACTATCAAATGCTGGGCAGTGTTCTGAGCACTTTCCAAATATGAAATTATTTATTCCTTATAACAACTTTAAAGGTGGGTACTATCCTTATTGTCTTCATTTCATATATAAGGAAACTGAGTCATGCAGAGGCTTAGTACTGTTCTCAGTATCACACAGTTGGAAATCAAACCAGGCCATCTGTCTGGCTCTGGAAGCCATATATTTAAGCACTAGGTCACACTGACTCTGCATTGTTTATACTGATTTTCACTCCTTTTGATTGCATATGATGTTTCTCCTTTTTTTCTGGGTCAGTCTTGCCAAAGATTTGCTAATGTTAATAATTTTGGTAAAGTATCAGCAGATTTCTTGATCCAATCCATTGTATGTTTGTTTTCTATTATATTCCTTCTGTCCTCATCTGTATCAACCCTTTTCTTCTACTACCTTTGGATATATTATATTTTTCTTCTGTTTTAGTTAGAAATTTCATTCCTTTTTAAAAATCCTTCTGAAGACTAGAAATTTTCTTTTAAATGGTGCCAAAAAGCATTTCCTTTAAATGCTTTAAATGGTGTATCTCACAAATTTTGATTTGTGGGGTTTTTTGTTTTTGTTTTTTTTAGTTACTCGGGTCTCCGTGTTTTATTTTTAAATCTTCAGGTTTCTTTGTCCCATAAGTTATGTTCTTAAGTTTTCAAAAGTAAGTGTTCTAAGATATGTATTCTTTTTTTTTTAATTATTTTTATTAACATATAATGTATTATTAGCCCCAGGGGTACAGGTCTGTAAATCGTCAGGCTTACACACTTCACAGCATTCACCATAGCACATACCCTCCCCAATGTCCATAACCCAACCACCCTCTCCATAACTCCCCCTCCCCCCAGCAACCCTCAGTTTGTTTTGTGAGATTAAGACTCTCTTATGGTTTGTCTCCCTCCCAATGCCATCTTGTTTCATTTTTTCCTTCCCTGCCCCCCCCAAACCCCCCACCCTGTCTCTCAAATTCCTCATATCAGAGAGATCATGTGATAATTGTCTTTCTCTGACTGACTTATTTTGCTCAACGTAATACCCTTTAGTTCCATCCACGTTGTTGCAAATGGCAAGATTTCATTTCTTTTGATGGCTGCATAGTATTCCATTGTATATATGTACCACATCTTCTTTATCCATTCATAAGATATGTATTCTTACGTTGATTTCCTAACTTAATTGTTCTTTGACCAGAGAATATAAGCTGGAAGACACTTCTCTGAAAATTTACTGAGACTTGTTAATGGCTTCGTACAAGGTCACGTTTTTACAATACTGATGATGTTTTACCTATTAATCTATCACTTAATGAGAGATTTAGGAACATCTCCCAAGTTGATATAGGTTTGTCAGTACTGCCTTGTGGGTTTTGGTTGGTTGCTTGTTTGCATGCCTTCAAAATTTTGAATCTGTTTTCAAGGTTTTTAACTTTCAGGACATTTTGCCTCTTATCACTGTATCACTATTAAACAGTTCAACATTTGTTTCTGATGGGGTCCCAGGGGATTCAGTGGTTGGTATCTAAACAGAATTTGTGTAAATTTCTTAGCTTGTGTTTTCCGAACCACGTGTATGGTGTAGATTCACACTGAATACATGTATCAGAGACTTCAGGTTTCTCTTTTTCGAAGGATCCCCTCTGGCCCTCACCTCCATGCCCCCAGAGTCTAGAGCAGACAGCAAGCCTCCTTGTGTCTTCTCTGGAATGGCGTGCGGAGTATTTCTAGCCTCTTTTTCAGGCACGGGCAACCCTTTGAACATCTGCATTTGGAGTAACTGTATGTATATTTGAACTTAATGAGAAAAAAAAAGTTTATTTTTATTTTCCCATTTGGCATTTCTGCAGCAAACTTACTTCTTACCATGACTGCTGTGTAGCCTTGGCCAACTACTCCAGATGTTACGCCTTGTTTTTGAAACTGATAAACAAATACCAGAAGAAACAGGTCAGTTCTTCATGCATATAATTCTTCAGAATGTCTTTGCATTGGTGTGTTCTTATGAGCTCATGTTGGGTAGTCTTATGTTTTGAAGGTACCAGTTTCTTTGAGAAGCTTCCATCTGTTGTGTTCATGGGTGGACCAAGAAGACTATTACTTGTAGGAGTTGAAGAGGGAGTAGTTTGAGGCAGAAAGGGCTACAACAGGATGGTTGATGTGGTAGGATTCCTGGTTTAGGGAAGAGGGTTGGTGCACAGTGTCGTTCCTCCCAGTGATTTATAGACCCTTACTTGAGAATCCTCTTGGGGTGGGATGGGGTCATTTTCAGGACCCATCCTCAGCCTGCTCAGTCAGATGGGTGGGGAGAGGCCTGGCCATCTGCACTTCAATGAGGACCACTGGAACCTCTGATGCAAAGTACAGTTTGGGAACCCCGACAATGGGTAGACTCTACAGATTCTTCTAGCCCTGAAATTCTTTAATTCTTTGACACTTTAATATTTAGAAGATGAAATTCTTCCAAAGTAAGGTAAGTATCAGAAAGAAAATAATTTGGGGTTAATGGATCAGGTAAAAGTGTATATATAGTTGTTTAAAAGAAGGAAGAAGTCACAAATGACTCCATAAAATCATAATAGTACAAACATTAAGTTTTATTATAAGTTCTTGAATATTCATTAAATGCAGTTTATTTTTATTCAGCTTTATAAATGCTTAAGGTGACATCAGCTCTTTAGTGAGACGTTTTATACATGAACACAATATATATTCATTTCAAATATGGTAAAATTTCAGAATCACTACATTTAAAACCAAGTAATTTATGTGTATACTAGGACTATTTTAATATAAAGCTTTGTGTTTATTTATATTGGACATCTCAAAACCACCTCAGAATATAATCCCTGTTTGCCACAAATAGCATGTAACTTATTTTTACCCAGCCCAGTACTTCTGCTGAGAATGACTAAATTTGTCAGATTTGATGCTATTATTAGCTGATTTATTAAAAGGTTACTAGTCTCTTTTTGGTTATACAGATGTCAGAGAAGTTTCTATTCTCATATTATACCATGACTACAGCTTGAAGATGATAAAACCTTGCTTAAAGTGTTAAGTTTTCATTTAGATTTTAAGCAGTGATTTACAAATATGCACTTGAGTTTTTGATTCTGAGTATTTGGGCTGCAAATGCTTTTCCCTACATATTTTGTGTTTTCTCTAAATTATACACTTTGAAGGATTTCAGGGTATAAGAATTTGCTATGTCAGTGGAAGAATCGATTTGATTAATCTACCTGAAAGTATTCTCAATCTGAAGTGTCCATTAAACATTTATTAATCTAGAATTTGGTACAATATATTATCTGAACTGTAATCTTTGGACAAGTGACTTACTCCAGCAGAAAACTTAGGCACTCATATTCTTGGTTGTCTTTTTTAAGGAAAAAAATAAAATGGTAGAAAAGATACTTTACTATAGCATTAAAAGAATTCTTTTAGAACCTGTACCTAAAAAGTTAAGTTATAGATTTTATTTTGAAGTGTTATTTTGTGGACTTTCTTTGTAATTTTATTTTGTCATCATTATTCTCTTTTGCTTTGGTGTTTTGATCATGGGTGATTTAGATAACTAGAACTGGAGAAGACACCTTTGCTTGCACTAGAATTTTCAAAAGTCGGTGAAAGAAAACATTTCTGTTTAACAGTTTGATTTCAAGTTATGTCAGAACCTGTAATTCTTTAAAAAGGAAGAAAACCTATCAGTTCAGTGCTAACAAATAGCCCTGTTGTTTTGTAGCATTACTAGTAATAGCTGTTTGTTTTTCTGACTAGCTTGGATGATGGCCATGTTTAGTAGACAGATCCCCTGGTATCTTGCCAATATGAGACACTTTTGATGTCAACATAGTTAGGAGTATGCTTTTTCTGGTTCAAGGGATGAACCATCTTAAACTTTAATTGGCAAAAATTTTTACCACGCCTCTTAGTGAACTATTTTTCACTTTGGACCAATAGTTATCTGTAAAGCAAAATTGGTGTTTCAGAGCCATATTTTTCCTCTGTTGATCTATATGATAATTTTGTGTTCCTGTTAAAATTATTTTGTTCAGAAGAATGAAGAACTCCTTGCAAACTATGTGCAGTACATATTGTTTCCAGAACCATCAAAGAAATGCATAACTTATTAAATTATTTTTATCATTGTAGTAAAAATAATATTCAGGGGTGCCTGGGTGGCTTAGTCAGTTAAGCGTCTGCCTTTGGCTCGGGTCATGATCCTGGGGTCCTGGGATGGAGTCCCACATCGGGCTCCCTGCTCAACGGGGAGTCTGCTTCTCCTTCTGCCTCTCTCCCTGCTCATGTTCTCTCTCTCTCTCTCACTTTCTCTCACTCTTTCTCACTCATATAAATAAATAAAAACTTTAAAAAAATCATATTCAGATATATTGTATATTTCCTTATCTTCTTAAAGGTACTAAAAATAATTTAACCTCTTTTTTTTTTAATTATTTTTATTAACACATAATGTATTATTTGCCCCAGGGGTATAAGTCTGTGAATCATCAGGCTTACACATTTCACAGCACTGACCATAGCCCATACCCTCCCCAATGTCCAAACCCAGCCACCCTATCCCTACCTAATTTAACCTCTTCTTTTTTTTTTTTTTTAAAGATATTTATTTATTTATTTGACAGACAGAGATCACAAGTGGGCAGAGAGGCAGGCAGAGAGAGAGAGAGGGGGAAGCAGGCTCCCTGCTGAGCAGAGAGGCTGATGCGGGGCTCGATCCCAGGACCCTGAGATCATGACCCGAGCCGAAGGCAGAGGCTTAACCCACTGAGCCACCCAGGCGCCCCTAATTTAACCTCTTCTTGATGCCCAAGGTCAATATTATAAGTATTACTCACTGCTCTAGAGGCTATCTCTCCCATCCTGGGAGCATGAGTCTGTTGATGAGATTCTTTAAATGTCTGTGCCTTCTTTTTGTAGATCTCTCTCTCTTCCCTTTCTACTGATTGTTAACTCTGCCTTTGGTAATCTTCACTTACATTTTGTGATTATTTCCTTGCAGTTAGGAGAGGAAACTCACAGTAAAACTTGTTAAAAGTATCACTTAAAGAAGCCTTAAATACAATTGAATATGAACGGGCTCTTAATGAGGGGACCTGAGGGGACTCTTAGATGAAATAGCCCTTGTCATTTCTCATCTTCAAGGGCCAATTAGTAGTACAAGATGTAGCTCTCATGTCCCCTCCCTTATGAAGCTTTTGAAGACCCTCAGCTCCTCCCACATCTGTGCATCATTTTAAAGATTCAAACATAGCCAGTACACCCAGCTAGCACACCCAGAGCTAAGGATGTCCCAAGCAGAATGTCCCTAGTCTTAACCACTTCACGGTAATTAAGAAAAATTATTCAAAACTTAGAAATAAGATGCTGGGCTGGGAGGCTACATGTCCTGACAAAGTCATGCTGGGGAACTGTTTAATTCTCCAGGAGAATGTATCTGTGTTTAAACTTGCTATTTACTATTTGATTAGAACCCAGGCCCTGTAAAGTACACATTAATTTGTAGATTTTTCTCTGGTAGACAAGATAACCTCAAAAGTTATGATTGTATGACCCTGGGGGCTATTAGCCAGGTGCGTATCTAACCTAGTAATCGAAGATTCTTTTTAATGCTTGTAAGCACCCAATTCTTTAATTGTTCTTGGAGCCAACTTAACCATTGTATTGGCTCCCTCATTAATGAGATAAGTAATTTTTTTAATGTGTTAATTTTATATCTGTATGAGAGTCATGTTGTTAACTCTTCAAAAATTCTACATTGACTCTGTGCCGTGTTTTACTTATCCTAAAGAATGAAATGTTTACAGTTTTGATCTCTGATTTTTTTTTTTTTAGTAAGAAAAACAGACACATAATTTATATTATATTTAGAAGAGCAGGGTAATTGTTCAGGCCATAAGGAAGTAGTTTTGTGTCCCAACTACTTCCTAAAATCATTAACCAAAAGCTCCATACTCCATAGGTCTTTATAAATATTTCTTTTGTGATTCTCCAAATAGTTGTTTTTTGTGTAGCTGCCTCGCCCACTACTGGGAAAATTCCTGAAGGACACAGGCCTTGTTTTGATAAACCTGAGATGATGCTTGGTGTACTAGACGCATGACAAAATGCTGAAAGAATGAATTTTGAGTATTTGAAATGCTTTGGAATCCATAAAGCATGATAAAATATTTCTTCTAGTATTCTAGTACTTCTTCCTTAAATATTTACTTTCCTTTTCCTGCTTTGGAGGAAGAAATAATAATAATTTTTTCCCCACATTTTTCACATTGGTGAACTGCATTACAGAGAACTAAAACAGAAGTAAGGGATTTTAAATTACTTCAGACCAGGATAGCGTCTTAGGTTCATGTTCCCAAATGGCCAGGTGAATATGATTTGTATTTCCTTTCTTTTAGAAATAAAAGTAAATCCAGAAAACCCACACCAGGCATGTTCTGCTGGGAATGTATTAATCTGCAGTGGCTAAAAACTGCTACACCTGAGATTTATTTGGATGTTGAGGCTTTGAACTAATCTTTGGAAAACCCACCAGGCCTCCAGCAACTTACAGAATTGTTAGTTCCTATAATTTTTATTTTATTTTATTTTATTTTATTTTATTTTATTTATTTTCAGTGTTCCAGAATTCATTGTTTATGTTTACAAAAATCCTAGATTAAGTTGGGCTGTAGATGTATACTTTGGAAGGCTGGTAGTCTCTTAATAGACATAGCTATCACCAAGCGATTAAAGAAGCAGGAGGAGTCTATATACCTTATCTTTCTTCTGAGGGGTCAGTATTAACTTTATCTTAAAAGTCTGAGGGCTACACTAGGAATCAGCAGAGATTTCATTTTTCTGAGATTAATTTTTAAAGCAAAGAGTGTTCATGTCTAAGCATTTTTTTCCAAGAATACAGAATAAAAATTAAAAAAATAAAAAAAAAG